CTTCACTGTTTCTTATTCTTTTACCCTTTGTTCCTCTGACTGTGTATTATTAAATAACATGTCCTCAAGCTCACAAATTCTTTGTTCTGCTTGATCCGTTCTGCTGTTAAAGAACTCCGATGCATTCTTTGCTATGTCGATGGCATTTTCAGCTCTGGAATTCCTGCTTGATTCATCTTAATTATTTCAATATCTTTGTTAAATTTATCTGATAGGATTCTGGATTCCTTCTCTGTATTAGCTTGAATTTCTTTGCGTTTCCCCAACACAGCTACTTTCCATTCTCTGTTTGAAAGGTAAGATATCTCTGCTTCTCCAGGATTAGTTCCTTGTGTCTTATTTTGTTCATTTGGTGAGTTCATGTTTTCCTGGATAGTTTTCATGCTGGTGCATATTCTTTGGTGTCTGGACATTGAAGAGTTGGGTATTTATTATAGTCTTCACTGTCTGTGCTTAGTTGTGTCCATCCTTTTTGGGAAGGTGTTCCAGATATTTGAAAGGATTTGGGTGTTGTAATCTAAGCTCTATCTGCCTTGGTGGCACTCCAAGATCAGTAATGCTGTGATTCTTGCAGATCCAGAGTCGTACTGCCTTCATGGTCTTGACAATGTCTGGGATAATTCTCTGGATTACCAGACAGAGACTTACTATCTCCCTGTTCTCCCAAACAAACAAAGTCAGTCTTTCTCTTTCTGAGTACCTAAATCTGGGAGTGTAGTGACAGAAACACTCCTGTGGCTACCATCACTATAACTTCATTGGGTCAGACCTGAAGCCAGCACAACATGTGGTCTCATCCAAGGCCTGCTGTAACCACTCCATGGCTACCGACTGTGTTTGCTCTAGGCCCTGGGACTCAACAATCAGCAGGTGGCAAAGCCAGCCAAGCTTGTGTCCTTCCCTTCAGGGCAGGGAGATTCCCTATACCACAGGTAGGTCCAGAGGTGCCATCCAGAAGTCTGGGACTAGAGTCAATAACTTTAGAAGTCTACCTGTGGTTCTATTGTACCGTGTCAATAGTGCAATAGAACTACAAGATGCAACCCTTCCCACTTTTCCCTACCCTTGTCAAAGGCAAAAGAGCCTCATCCTCTCATCCTGTAGCCCTCACCACCACAGGCAATGAAGCTACTGCCAGACTACTGCCGATGTTCCCTTAGGACCCACAGACTCTTAAGTCAGTTTGTGGTGAATGCTGCCTGGTCTGAGACTCAACTTTCAGGGAATTGGGCTCTCCTCTGGTTCAGGGAAGGTCCAGAAATGTCATTCCAAGAGTCAAGTCTTGGAATAGGGGACCTCAAGAGTCCTCTTTGTGTTCTACCCAATTGTGGCCATGCCGGTACTTAACATGCAAGACAAAGTTCCCTTTACTTTTTACTCTGCTTTTCTCAAGCAGAAGGAGCTTCACCCTATAGTTCCCACAGCTGGTCATGTGCTGAGTCTCACCTGAAGCCAGAAAGTCTCAGAGACTCACCCAAGCCTTTTGATGTAGTACCTGGACATTGCTGCCAGTTATTAAGGGCCTAAGGGCTCTTCAATTAGTAGGTCATGAATGCTTCCAGCACTAGATCCTTTTCTTCAAGGCAACAGGTCCCTTCTGGCCCAGGGTGTGTCTACAAATGTCTGGAAGGTAGGGCCTAACAGGCAATCTCCAGTTGTTAAATTTGTGTCCTTTTGGGGGGATGATCAGCCGAGTCTTCTATTGTGCCATCTTGTTCTACCTCCTAAGCCAAAACTTATTTTTCTTGTTTAAGAAAAAGTTTTAAGTGTTTCAAATGCACTTTTCAATTTGTCTTTTTAAATATCTGCATTCTTTTATCACAATTTTCAATGTGCCAAGATTCTGAACTAAATGTCTGCCTACCCACATTCCCTACCAGATTCTTGTGTTTCTAAACATGGATAGAAGCCTACTTGGGGCAATGTTTTCTATTAAAAGTGCTCATTTTCAAAATAGCTCTGTTCTTCATTCATTCACACATGAGTAAGTTAGGCATACCCTGTTTGCTAAGTCATGACTTTTCCCTAAACTATGTCTTATTCTTTGGAAAATACCTATGTGTTTTGTTGTTTTATTTTAATCTATTCTCAAAACATTAGCTTTTATGAATTAACCCACAAGTTATTAAAAATGGCATATTTTAATGCAAAGAAAATAGGTCTATATTTAGAAAATTTAATGACATGGATTATCTTATACTATCAATTTAAAACTATGAATATTTTATATATGTTGTAAAAGTAATTATAATTTTTTTAGCACCTGGGGGGACTTAGGGGTAGAGGTGGAGATGGCAGGATAATTTCCTGCTATATAAACATTTTATTAATTTAAACTGCCTTGTCTCTCAACTGCTGTAAATCAAGTTCTGAATTTTTGTGATCATATTTGTTCTATACACATTGCAGAAGCTTTCCCACTCACATATAAGACCACAGCCAAATCATACCTATCATAAATCTCTGGGAGTTTACAATTTACAAGAACAACTTTTGTTTTTAATTCTTTGTCGTACTTTAATTCAGTAAGATTAAAGTGTTTTTAAAAACTGTAAGAACAAACAAGAACATATACAATGCAATGAGATTAAATGAAAGAATTTAAAATGCAAAAGTCTGCCAGGTGTAAAACTTACATTACAGAATCATTGGTTAAACATCACTTTTAGTGAAAGCAAATGTAAACTTGCTGTGTAGTTATGTACCACATACCCAGTAGATACTCAAAAATATTAAATGACCAACTGACAAAAAGATTCTATGTAGTGAAAGATTTACCACTGATTTTTCTTTTAAAGATTATGCAAAAAATTATTTTAGTCATGTCTTAAAATTCTATATAAAATATGGATAACTTGACATCTATACATGATGCCAAAAAATGTACTTAATATTTTAAAATGTAACAGCATTTTTTGATGTTGGCTTAAGATTGTGAGAGCTATGTAAGAAAAATTATGCAAGTTTTCCTTAGTGATGAACTACCTAGTTTATTACTATGGCTACCCTCTTTTTCTAAAATTCTTTGACTCCCACTTCTTTCTGTCTCAACAGCTGCTGTACTGTCTTATTATATCTGGCCATTTGAAGACATCTACAGATTTATTTTATTGTATCAACAAGATAATTCTTGCAAATTACATTTTGTTGTGGTTTCCTTGTTTTGATTTATTTTTTAACTAAACTCTTTCTAATTTTGTCATCACTAAACAATGGAGACATATAACTGGCGCCCAATCACTGTAGGAAGTTAACAGTAGATAGGGTGAAAGTGGGCAGCCAACCAGGTGCCATATTGCAGGAGCTTGCAGCAGATTGCTGTTCAACTCTAGGACTTTGCTGTAGGGTACTGGGCCCCCACATTTTATTTTATTTTATTTCATTTCATTTCATAACAAATAATTCTCCTCAGAGAGCACATAGAAATAGGCAATAAGCACCAAATGTGAACCTGAGATACTTTGAATGGTGATATAATGATACCAGTGAGGCAGCAAATCAGACCTTTTCCACATACTAGCTGTCATGTGAGTGACACCTCTGTTCCATGGGGGTTGTGACTCCCTGTTTTAAATATGTGTAAATGTATAATATCTAAAGAATAAAACAATAGCCAGCATGAAATGCCCTTCACAAAGAAGCTGGAGCAAAATCCAAGCATGCTCAGCTACTGCTGCTCTTTCTAAAAGAGCATTTTACTCTCACACATACCTGTGATTCTCTTGATAAGTTAGTCTCCCCGAAACAGCACCTGCACTTCCTTCTCATTTAGGTTACAGGTGGGTATATGTGGGGCAGGTTTCAGAAGAAGACTGATGTTTACTAGGTTCCTATGAATATGAACCTGTTTACTTTACATGTGTTTTCTCATTTAATCTTTGTAGCAATCCTATGAGATAGGTGGTATTATGCCCATTTTACCATAGTGAAACTAAGCTTCAGAGAGAGGTTGAGTCACTTGTTCACACTAGGAAGGGACAGAACTGAGATTCAAATACAAGATTTTCTGGATTCCCACTGTTTTGCACTGAGGAGAAAAATTTCAGCTTCCTACTTGTTACCAATTCTAAGCCCTTACTATGTGATCATTATAATAAAAATCTATGCTATTTCTCACTTTAAATTTTTATTACTGGAGAGTAGAAGTGTTGTACGTATCTGTTGAAATGATGGACCTCATATGTGATATTTAGGTTTTTTTTTTTTTGGCCAAGTTTGCTCTTATATGCAGAGGCTTATCAACAATTATTCTATTTTATATTGAAGATACTGCCTGTTAGGTTTAGAGTAAAAATAACTTACTCAATTCTGTCCAAAGAAGATTAGTTAATTTTTCCAGGGACTTTCTTAAGAAGTCTAGTTATCTTCATTCAATGCTTTTAAGCTTATCTATGATAGTAGGGGGTTTTGTTTCACTTCTCCTTATCAGTAGAAATTTTCTATTTGTATGACATTTCCCTAGCAAAGCATTGTGATTGACACTGCTTGTATGACAAGTACAATGTTAGCTGAGGGATGTCAGTTGAAACTTCAGAATTCACTGTTGTTCTTTTTAAATAAATAAACTGACAATGACAGCACTTTCTCACAGATGGTATATTTGAAAGGAGTGGGTCAGGGATTTGGTTGCCAGAACTCCAGAGACTGAAAGCAAAAGGTTACTCCTGCCCAGTCCCCTATTCTGTAAAATTGAAGGAAGTTCATTTCAAAAACAAATTAAAGTTTTGTGATGAGAAATGGTTTATATTAGTCAGGGATCTCCAGACAAACAGAGTGCATAGATGGAATGGAGATAAAGAATTGTCTCACACAATTGTGAAGGCAGAGGTCTCAAGATCCTCAGTCTGAAAGCTGGAGACCAAGGAAAGATGACGTGTGGTATTAGTCTCAGTCCAAAGGCCTGAGAACCAAGAAAGCCAATTCCAGTAAATTTCATCCCAAATCCAGCAGCCTCAAGACCCAAGAAGAGCTGATGTTTCAGTCTGAGTCCAAAGGCTAGAAAAGACCAGTGTCTCAGCTTAACAATCATGCAAGAGGAATTCCCTCATACTCAGGCTTTTTGTTCATTCAGGTCTTCAATTAAATAGATGAGGCTCATTCACATTAGGAGGGGCAATCTACTTAAGTCAATCTACTGATTTATATGTTAATCTAATTCAGAAACATCTTCACAGACACACCCAGAATAATGTATGACCAAATGTCTGGGCTCCCCTTAGCCCAGTCAAATTGAAAGATTACATTAACGACCACAAAGATATATTTTAGAAAGTCAAGGATCAGAAACTATCAGAATATAAAAGATAACTCTCTTATTGAAGGGTGTTAATATCAGGAATATATTTTTACAATTCCTACAACTCAACAACAAAAACAACCCATTTAAACCATGGGAAAATAATCTGAATGGGAACTTCTCCAAAGAATATATACAAGTAGCCAACAAGCATATAAAAAGATGTTCAACATCACTAATCTTAGGGAAATGCAAATCAAACACTCAAAGAGATGTCACCTCACACCAGTTAGGATATCTACTGTCAGAACACACACATGCACACACACACATACACATGCACAGAAAATGGCAAGGGTTAGTGAGGAGACAGAGAAATTAAAACCTCTGTGCACTGTTAGTGGGAATGTGAGACAGTATATCTGCTGGGGAAAACAGTATGGAGGTTTCTCAAAAAGTGAGAAATAGAATTACCATATGATCCAAGAATTCCACTTCTGGGTATATATCCCAAAGAAGTAAAAACTGGATTTTAAAAAGAAATTTGTATGCCTATATTCATAGCATTATTCTCAACAGCCAAAAGATGGAAACAATCTAGATATTCACCAATGAATGAATGCATGAACAAAAATTTGGCACATGCATACCATGAAATATTATTCATCTTACAAAGGAAGGAAATTCTGACACATGCTGTGACATAGATGAACTTTGAAGACATTATGCTAAATGAAATAAGCCAGTTACATAAACACAAATATTTTATTATTTTATTTATATGAGCTATCTAGAGTAGTTAAACTCAAGATGGTATAATAGAATGGTCATTGCTTGGGGTAGCAGGAGGGGAAATGGGTAGTTTAATGCAGGGGCTCCCACCCTATGGGCCATGGACTGGTACAGGTCCACACAGCAGGAGGTGAACAGCAGGCAAATGAGCATTAATGCCTGAGGTCTGCCTCCTTTCAGATTCGTGATGGCACTCGATTATCATAGGAGTGGGAACCCTAATTGAACTGTGCATGCAAGGGCTCTAAGTTGTGCACTCCTTATGAGCATCTAATTAATGCCTGCTAACGTGAGGTAAAACAGTTTCATCCTGAAACCATCCTCCCCTACCCAATACCACCCTCATCCATGAAAAAATTGTCTTCCATGAAATTGGTTTCTGGTGCCAAAAAGGTTGGGGAATGCTAGTTTAATGGATATGAAAAAGTTATAGAGATTGGTGGCACAACAGAGTAACTATATTTAACATTACTGAAGTGTACACTGAAAAGCGTTTATAATGGCAAATGTTACTTACGCTTTACCACAATTTGAAAAATACATCAGTCAAATTAATTTTTTTTCTCAGAACAAGTCACATAAGAGGACTACTTTTGAGGACATGATAATCCACCTCATATAGTTAACAAGCCAAAGAGAGAAACAGTGTTAATAAATAAATTCAGTGAAACAATATATGGGGCATAGTATTTTCTAAAAATCATATACACAATTTAAAATAGTAAAACATTGCTAATAATAAAAATGTATGCAGTGTGATTAAAATATCATTATGTAAAAAAGATAACACTTTAACATATGTTTACTAGTACAGTTCTGGTCACTAGGAGTATAGAAATTTTAAAAATGAAGAAGAAAGCCATGATTCTTTAAATGAGCATTTAACATAAAAATAAATGCATATGTTCAATAAGCATATAAAATGATTAATTCTCCTTATGCTTCAAGAAAACAAAATAATAAGCTATGTTTTCACTAAATTGGCAAAAATTACATAGTAGAATAAAACTTAGCATTTATAAAGTTAGAGGAAAAAAAGGACTATCATGCATTTCTGCTGTCATTGAAAGGCAGCTTGAAAATATTAAAAAAAAATTTATTATGCTTTAAGTTCTAGGGTATATGTGCTGAACATGCTGGTTTATTGCATAGGTATACATGTGTCCTGGTGGTTACATTCACCCATAGCCCACCATCTACATTAGGTATTTCTCCTAATGCCATCTCTCCCCTAGTACCCCACACCCCAAAATACCCCGATGTGTGATGTTCCCCTCCCTGTGTCTTTGTGTTCTCATTGTTCAACACCTACTTATGAGTGAAAACATCCAGTGTTTCATTTTCTGTTCTTGTGTTAGTTTACTGAGAATGATGGTTTCCAGCTTCATCCATGTCCCTGAAAAGGGCATGAACTCATCCTTTTTTTATAGCTGCTTAGTATTCCATGGTGAATATGTGCCACATTTTCTTTATCCAGTCTATCATTGATGGGCAATTGGTTTGGTTCTAAGTCTTTGCTATTGTGAAGAGTGCTGCAACAAGCCTATGTGTTCATGTGTCTTTATAGTAGAATGATTTATAATTCTTTGGATATATACCCAGTAATGGGATTGCTGGGTCAAATGGTATTTCTGACTCTACATTCTTGAGGAATCACCACACTGTCTTCCATAATGGTTGAACTAATTTACACTCCCACCAACAGTGTAAAAGCGTTCCTATTTCTCCATATCCTCTCCAGCATCTGTTGTTTCCTGACTACTTTTTAATAGTCACCATTCTAACTAGCCTGAGATGGTATCTCAATGTGATTTTGATTTGCATTTCTCTAATGACCAGTGATGATGAGTTTTTTTTTTTTTTTTCACATTTGTTGGTCGCATTAATGTCTTCTTTTGAAAAGTGTCTGCTTGTATCCTTTGCCCACTTTTTAATGGAGTTGTTTGTTTTTTTCTTGTAAATTTGTTTAAGCTCCTTGTAGATTGTGGATATTAGCCCTTTTTCAGATGGATAGATTGCAAAAATTTTCCTCCATTCTGTAGGTTACCTATTCACTCTGATGATACTTTCTTTTGTTTTGCAGAACCCCTTTAGTTTAATTAGATCCCATTTGTCAATTGTGTCTTTTGTTCCCACTGCTTTTGGTGTTTTAGTCATGATGTCTTTGCCCATGTCTATGTCACGAATGGTATTGCCTAGGTTTTCTTCCAGGGTTTTTATGGTTTTAGGTCTTACATTTAAGTCTTTAATCCATCTTCAGTTACTTTTTGTGTAAAGTGTGAGGAAGGAGTCCAGTTTCAGTTTTCTGCGTATTGCTAGTCAGTTTTCCCAACACCATTTATTGAATGAGGGATTCTTTCCCTATTGCTTTTTTTTGTCAGGTTTGTCAAAAATCAGATGATTGTAAATGTGTGCCATTATTTCTGGGGCCTCTGTTCCATTCCATTGGTCTATATCTCCGTTTTGGTACCAGTACCATGCTGTTTTGTTGACTGTAGCCTTGTAGTATAGTTTGAAGTCAGGTAGCATGATGCCTCCAGCTTTGTTCCTTTCGGTTAGGATTGTCTTGGCTACATGGGCTATTTTTTGGTTCCATATGAAGTTTAAAGTAGTTTTTTCTAATTCTGTGAAGAAAGTCAATGGTAGCTTGATGGGGATAGCATTGAATTTATAAATTACTTTGGGCAGTATGGCCATTTTCACGATACTGATTCTTCCTATCCATGAGCATGGAATTCTTTTCTATTTGTTTGTGTCCTCTCTTATTTTCTTAAGCAGTGGTTTGTAGTTCTCCTTGAAGACGTCCTTCACATCCCTTTTAAGTTGTATTCCTAGGTATTTTATTCTCTTTGTCATAATTGTGAATGGGAGTTCACTCATGATTTGGCTCTCTGTTTGTCTATTATTGGTGTATAAGAATGCTTGTGATTTCTGCACCTTGATTTTGTATCATGAGACTTTCCTGAAGTTACTTATCAGCTTAAGGAGATTTTGGGCTGAGATGACAGGGTCTTCTAAATATACAGTCATGTCATCTGCAAACAGAGACAATTTGACTTCCTGTCTTCCTATTTGAATACGCTTTATTTCTTTCTCTTGCCTGATTGCCCTGGCTGGAACTTCCAATACTATGTTGAATAGGAGTGGTGAGAGAGGGCATCCTTGTCTTGTGCCAGTTTTCAATGGAAATGCTTCCAGCTTTTGCCCATTTAGTATGATATTGGCTGGGGGTTTGTCATAAATAGGTTTTATTATTTTGATATACATTCCTTCAATACCTAGTTTATTAATTTAAATGCACATACCCTTTGGCTCACTAATCACACTGTGGTATAAGGCCTAAAATTAAGGCCCCATATTAAGCACATATTAGCTTCTTGGGAAAACCGGGAGATCCTTAAATGGGCCTCCACATTGTTTTCCTGCAGATGAAATATGCTATTCAAATAGTTCTTCATAGAATGGGCACCAAACTCAATCTGTTTATGCCTTGGTTCCTCAGTTCCCTGCCAGTCCACAGAATAATTCAAAGAAGCCAATCACATCCTCCTTTTGGAACCAGGAGTTACACTACATTCTTGTTACTACAGGTTTGCTTCCCACAGCCCCTGCTTGGTTACTCTATTCCTAAGCATAGCCCCATGTGGTTCTGCATGGCATAAAATGTCCTCAGCTTGTGAGCATATATGACTAATACACTATTGTTGATATCGTATCTAGTGTTGGGAGTCAGTGTTTTGGCCATCCCTATGACTTCAGGGCAAAAATCCCTTCCTCACCAATGAGAAGAAGAGAAGGTGATCAAAACATACCGCTAGGAATTTCACATCACATATAATGTCCATCAATAAATAACTGTAACTAAAATGTGGATTGCCCATATGATGGAGCACAAGGTAGCAGTTAAAAACACTGAGGTACACAAACAATTAAAAATAGAATGACCATATGATCCACCAACCTCACATCTGGTATAAAAATAATAAAAGAAATCAGGATATCAAGAAGATATCTGCCCTCTGATGTTTACTGCATCTTTATTCACAATAGCCAAAATATGGAAACAACCTAAATGTCAATAGAGAGATAAATAGAGAAAAATGTGTCACATACATACAATGGAATATTATTTAACCTTAAGAAGGAAGGAAATGCTGCCATACAGGACAACATGGATGAACCTGGAAGACATTTTGTTAAGTGAAGTAAGCAAGTCACAGAAAGACTGATACTCTTTGGTTCCACTTATATGAGTAAGCTAAAATCGTCAAACTCATAAAACCAAAGAGCAGAAAAGTGGTTTCCAGGAGCTGGGGGGAGGGAGAAATGGGGAGTTTGTTATTCTACAGGTATTAAATTTCAGTTATAAAATGTGAATAACTTCTAGACATCTGTTGTACAACGTTGTGCCTGTAATTAACAATACTAAATCGTACATTTAAAATTTTGTTAAGAGGGTTGATGTCGCATTGTGTTCTTATCACAAAAAAGACTGAGACATATCTGTTTTTGATGATTTAGAAAAATCTCTAAGACACTATTAAGTTGAAAAGTTTAGATTTGCAGTGTCATGCCATTTGTTTGGTTTTCTTTTTAAGTGCACATGCACTCAAAAGGGCAGTGTTGAGTTAGAGATTTTTAATATTCATTTCAAATAGTCATTTAAGTACAAACATATCACTCTGCTCCACATTTAACCAAGATACATACTTAAAACAGGAAACTCTGCACCCCTTTGTCGGGGTTGTCATTTAATGTTATTTAAAAAACAATAGCAAAGAAACAAACTCTTAGAAGTGTCCTTGAGGCTGATAAAACAACAGAAGATTTCTATTATTATACATTGCAATATAAACCGAGTGAAGTCACTTGTTAAGTACAGTTATCTGGTTACTTGGCCAAAGCTTCAGCTTTTACCTAGATTGCCTGGATTATTGGAATGCTACTCTTTTCACAAAATCAGCAAGGTAATTGCCTGTCTCCTTCACCTCAGCCACAGATTTAGGTTTCATGATGCCTTGTAAAGTGAAAGTGGCTTGAAAATCCAATAGAAAAACAAAACTGACCTCAACTTGAAGCTTCCCTAGGGAAAAATTCATCTTCTCTTTTAAATGTTCACTTTAAAAAAATTGTCTAAATAGGTATTCACAGTTTCATTGCTAATTGACTTCTATTATCTGTTTTCTTAGTAAAAATATGCTCTTAGGAACTTTAAAAATAACTGCACTTCCTGTATATGCTTCTCCTTAATAGGCATTGCCATGATAGGTCGCCTTTAGCATTGCTAGTGCTACAACCCCAGCACATTTCTAGCAAATCAAATCGGATTTTATTTAGTTCAGTTTAAAGAATGAATCAGGTTTAGATGTCCTCTAAATGAATTACAAATTAATTAGCTGAGTGTGTTCAGTGTTCTGTTCATTATTACTTCCATTGTGACAGTAATGTAAGTTAGTTTGCACTGGAGAATATGATATAAAGGAAAATTATGGGAATATTTATCCTGGTTGTTATGATAAATTATTTGAATCTCCATAGAATCTTCCTGAAATTTATCCTGCTCTCTTTTTTATTGTATGAATTTTAGCTCTGCAATGATAGTTCAATCAATGTTGGCTGAACACCTAATGTGATTTTTTGTTGTAAGTAACTAGATGATTAGTCTTAATTAAAAAAATTAGATGGCATGTTTTAATTCATTTATTGGAAACATGTAATTTAATATTAGTACTTACAATAACTGTTACTCATCAGGGATTTTTTAAGTAGAAGAGAATAGATTTAGGTGATAATGAAATTTATTATCATACACACACAAAATATGATCTATCTTATGAAGAAGCATGCTTTAAGAATTCAATTTAACTTCACTTTCTTGGTAATAAACCAAGAATTCATATATTTATTTTCCTTTTTGGTGGCTAAGTTTACTTTTCAAAAACTTGTAGATTTAAAACAGAAACATTTGCAACTGTTGTTTAGTATTACATCAGTTTTAGCTATGGCAAGCCTTTTTTTTAAATTTTTTTTTTTACTGTTTAATTTTTTTTTCAAATTTATTTTATTGCATTTTTATTAAGTCATGTTTTATATGTTGTGTATATTATTTTCCACTGTTACTTGAATCTAATTTAGGAGGTTTCATGTTGAATTTCAGTTAGAAAGTAAATGTTGAAAGCATTGTATGTCTAAGGAGTTTTGGAGGGCTAGCTTCTGTTCTGTGTGGGACTTGATCATATATCATCTTAGGCAGAAGAACGCAACAGAACTCCATACCTCAAACCATGAATTGCAACAGTTGTCCCAGAATCACTCTCACAGTATCTCTCTTTTTTTTCTCTCTCTCTCTCTCACTCTCTCTCTCTTCTCTCTCTCTCTCATTTTTCTCTCTCTCTATTTCATCAGAAGCACACACACAGGGCTTTGTAGGATATATATTTTTAATTAAAGCTCATGTTTAGATTTTTCCACCACCTCTGAAAAATAATTCAAGACATCATTGGGATAAAAACAACTAGAAAATATCAGATATTTCTATTTATCGCTCTGCCGTGGACTCTCTATGTCCTGTTGAATTAGCCGTTTGACCTAGCTTTTTCTGATTACTCATCAGCAAAGTAGAGGTCATTATTCTATCGTGTTTCTAATTTACTTCCAAGGGATACCTAGGATTGATTGAAATAAAACAATATGTAAATACAATAGTTTCTTGGATAAAGAAAACCTAAGAACAAAAAGGGTAGGTTTATTATGAAACTTGATGAAGCCATAAATATTATTTTAGTGCTACATTATCTTCTTACTTTTCTCTTATTTACCTTTTAAATTAATTATAACATCAGTATGAAACCAATATCTAGATTTGTATGGCAAATCTAGATTAATTTATCAAAAGTCCACTTACTAATGTAATCCTTTCTTTACTTTTTTGTGTTTAGTATGTGAATCTAAATATCCGTATTGTAGAAAAAAGTTTAAAAGAATATACATTAAAATGTTAACAAGCATTATTTCTAATTTGTAAGTATTTTAAATTATCTTATTTTTATATCTGTATTTTATACAATGAACATGTATTATTTGTGTTATCAAAACTATTTAAAATCAACATTGTTTAATTGCTATCAATTCAAAAATTCTATGTATTTCATCTTATCATGCTATATTGTTATGGAAATTTGAAAAATAAAAATGCTAATTTTCAGAATGGGAGAACAAAGTAAGAATTGTGAAATAAATTTCGCTAATATTATAGCACATCTCACCCTGATGTTTCTCTGTATAATATAATTTCCTTTGATTATTTTAAACTTAGAAATTTAAAACAATTTAAAAATGTGTTTTTTAGCTACAGGACCGCACTCAGTTCAGTGACCGAGACTTAGCTACCCTTAAGAAGTATTGGGACAATGGCATGACCAGCCTGGGCTCTGTTTGTAGAGAGAAAATTGAAGCCGTTGCAACTGAATTAAACGTTGACTGTGAAATAGTTCGGGTAAGATATTTTCTATAACTTTCATGCTATGGTTACTGAGTGGCATAAATGAAAGCTTTAAAATCTTACATGAGGTGCCCCAAGCATTACAAGCAATAAAGTGAAAAGGTAACCCACAGAATAGGAGATAATATTTTGAAATAATATACCTGATAAGGAATTTATATCAGAGCATGTAAAGAACACTTACAAGTCAATAATAAAAATGCAAATAACCTAATTTAAAAAATAGGCAAAGGAACTGAATAGACATTTCTCTTATAAAGACATACATAGTACCAATATTTACATGAAAATACATTCAACATCATTAGTCATTATGGAAATGGAAATAAAAACCACAAGATGCCATTTACCCACTGTAACAACATTACATGAAAGATACATAATAATGAGTGTTTGCCAGCATATGGAGAACTTGTAATCCTTATATATTGCTGGTAAGAATGTAAAACATTTTAGCAACTTTGAAAACAATCCTTAAAATTTTAACAGAGTTATCATAAGACCAAAAATTCCACTGCTGGAATGGATTTCACTCCACTCAAAAGAATGAAAAAGCTATGTCCAACTGAAAAAGTTGTACACTGATATTCATAATAGAGTTTTCCATAATATCCAAATGGAAACATTCACCAAGTGAATGAATAGACAACATCTGGTTATATGTATATAATGGACTATTATGGAGCCATACAAAGGAATGAAATATTAATAAGTGCTATAAAATGGATGAATCTTAAAATATTATTCTAAATGAAAGAAACCTGTTGCAAAATACCACATATTATATTATTTCATTTTTATGAAGTATCCACATTAGGCAAACTCTAGAGACAGAAAGTAGATTAGTGGTGTCAGGAGCTGGCGGTAGGGTGGAATGGGAAATGACTGCTAATGTGTATGGGGTTTATTTCTGACATAATGAAAATGTTCTTTATTGGATAGTGGTGACTGGTGCACAGCTCTGCAAATATATAGAAAACATTTTAATTGTACACATTGAATGAATGAATTGTGTGGTATGTTAAATATATCTCAATAACATTGTTTAAAAATTGCATGAGGTGAATTAAAATATATCTCATACAATGAACAATAGATTAAAATTATTTTACATTCCCACCAACAGTATAAAAGTTTTCCTATTTCTCCACAGCCTCACAAGCATCTGTTGTTTCTTGACTTTTTAATAATTGCCATTCTGATTGGCGTAAGATAGTATTTCATTGTGGTTTTAATTGGCATTTCTCTAGAGATTAGTGATGTTGAACTTTTTTTCATGTTTTTGTTTGTTGGCTGCATAAATTTCTTCTTTTGCGAAGTGTCTGTTTATGTCCTTTGCCCACTTTTTAATGAAGTTTTGTTTTTTCTTGTAAATTTGTTTAAGTTCCTTGTAGATTATATATATTAGACCTTAGTCAGATGCATAGATTGTAAAAATTTTTTCCCATTCTGTAAGTTGTCTGTTCACTCTGATGTAGTTTCTTTTGCTGTGCAGAAACTCTTTTGTTTAATTTGTTATTTTTGTTATTTTTGCTTTTGTTGCAATTACTTTTGATGTTTTTGTCATAATATCTTTTCCCATGCCTATGTCCCGAATGGTATTGCCTAATTTTTTTCTAAGGTTTTGATAGTTTTGGGTTTACATTTAAGTCTTTAATCCAACCATTGTGAAAGACAGTGTGGTGATTCCTCAGAAACCTAAACCAGAAATACCATTTGACCCAGCAATCCTATTACTGGGCATATACCTAAAATAATAGAAATCATTCTGTTATAAAGATACATGCACACATATGTTCATTGCAGCACTATTAACAACAGCAAAGACATGCAAGCAACTCACATGCACATCAATGATAGACTGGGTAAAGAAAATGTGGTACATATACACCATGGAATACTATGCAGCCACAAAAAGGAATGAGATCATGTCCTTTGCAGGGCCATGAATGAAGTTGGAAGCCGTTATCCTCAGCAAACTGACACAGGAGCAGAAAACTAAATACCACATGTTCTTACTTATAAGTGGGAGCTAAACAATGAGAACACATGGGCACAGGGAGGGGAACAATACACACTGAAGCCTGTCAAGGGTAGGGGAAGGGAGAGCATCAGGATAAATAGCTAATACATACAGTGCTTAATACCTATTTCAAAGGTTGATAAGTGCAGCAAACCACCACAGCACCACATTCACTTTTGTAACAGACCTGCACATGCTGCACATGTATCCCAGAATTTAAAATAAAATACAATTAAATTTTAAAAATTATACTGATCAATCATGGGAACTGTAGTTTATGTCCCATTTAAAAGATGTTGGTATACAATTTTGAAAGTGGTACTGCTAGTAAGTATTTAACAATCAATTCTTTAAGGAAAAAAAATCCTTGATTATTTGCTGATTTCTGTGGTGTAAAAATTTCTACCATAGCTGGTTCTATGTCTTACTCAACACAGAGCTGGGAAGAGATGCTAACAGTTGACTCTTGTGAGAAAGTGTCGGTTGACATCAGTACACACACTGGAAGATCATCTCAGTAGATCAAGAGGGAAGTATCTTAAAGAAAGAACACACGCACCTGCCTCAAAGAAAGGGCATGGGGAGAAGGAGATAGTGGAGGGCAAAATAACAGGGACTCAANGCTTGATAGTACACACCTGTAGTCCCCTCTACTCAGAAGGCTGAGCTGGGAGGATCACTTGAGCCCAAGATTTCAAGTGCAGCCTGGACAACCTAATGAGGCTCCATCTCATATCATGTATATATATATATGTGTGTATATATATATATGTATATATATACGTATATATATAGTATATATTTATATGTATATATATATGTATATATATGTATATATATATGTATATATATATGAGGAAAAGAGCAATATAGAGAGAATTTATAGAGTACAGAGTTCTGAAAATAAATAATATTTGCAAAATAAGTACTGTCCTGTTCAGTCTTGCTTTTTCTTGTTAGAATTCAGATGGAAAATCAAATTCAATACTGTGTTTATTTAGCATGCTGCTATGCATTAAAGTATACTACCAAGGAGAGAGAAGTGCATTAGACATTATTTCTATTTTAAGGAGCTCAGAGTCTAGCAAGAGGGATGACACAAGAAAAACAAAATGGCTGAAGAGGAATTGGAGTAGGATAATAGTATGAAGAGCCTAAACAACAGCCAAAAATAGGGAAATGTAGAGCATGTATTCTTGTTTCGTTTCTATTTTTTTAAATCAAAGTTATATATGTATATAGCTTAGGAAGTCAAGTTCTGTAGAACTTGCTACAAAACCAGCATTCCCTCCTATCATTTTTCAATAGTCCGAACCCAACCACTTTCCACTCTTAGATTTCCTTTGGTATTTACTTTCGTCTATGAATGATGTGCGGTATTAATGAGATTTAGGTTTAGCTGTAAGTAATAAAATACCCAAAACTAACAATGGCTTAGACAAGATATTTCAATTCCATGTATAAGTCCATGGGCATGCAATTTACAGCTAGCATGGCAGTTTGGCTCTACAATGTCCACAGAAACCCTGATGCCTTCCAATTTCCATTCTGCTCTCCCTATGATGTGGCCCTTTTTATCAAGTTCCAAAATGAAAGCATACGTACACCAGACAGCATGACAGAGAGAGAGAAGAATAAGGGGTAAAGGGTGTTTACCAGCTGTCTTTTAACAAGGATTCCTGGAAACTGCCATGAGATCCTTTTACTTATATCCCATTGGCTAAAGATTAGTCACATGGTCACACCAAACTATAAGAGAAGCAGCAAATGTAATTTTACTGTGAGCAAACATGTGCCCAGCTAAACCTTCTGTAATTCTGGAAGGTGAGGACAAATATGGGAAATAAACAGCAGTCTCTCTTATATGTTTGTATTGCAACTTCCTGATTTGTTCAATGTCAGGCATTGTCTATTGATTTTTCACTATGAAGTGCAAAGCAAAAAAAAAAAAAAAACTCTTTCAAGATTTCCTCATTGATCCTTTCACTTACATGCATAATTCCTCTCTCCTTATCCTCCTATAACTTTGTTCAGCTTGGTATTAATTATTACGACTATGTCAATGCTTTACACATTTGAATTATGCAGTGAAATATCATTTTTTGTTTTCTGCATAACTTAGCATTGTTTTGTTTCCTTGTAATTCATCATTTACTTAATTTATGTTTTTGATATTTATGTTTGCTTGACTTATTTTCTAGGTACATACTACTAATTTATCCTCAAACCCTTTCCCAGTTGCATAAGTCTCCTCTCAACACATTCATACACATTTGGCAGTATAATAATTCCATCACCTTAAAGAAATATTTCCTGGAATTTTCTGATCTGCTCCAACTGAATTGATTATTTTATATATATGGACTATAACTGTTATTCTAAGATTTCTACTTCCAATCTGTTTCTCCTTTTGCTCTACTTTCAATAAGATATCCTTTAATTTATCTTCCAACTTCTCTACTGAGTTTTTCATTTTTATAAATGTATCATGCCACTGGTACTGATAAGTAACTTGTGCCATGACAGCAATGTTCAGATTCTATGGACAGCCATAGAGTCTACTTGAGACACCCATACTGCAAGAGAGGAGACAGGGACAGAATCTCTTTAAAAACATACACTTACAAAATAAAGATAAGCTATCCACAGGATTTCTGGCTAGGGTTCTCCTTGATATCAAGGTATTTTAGGCACACTTACTGTAAAAAATGGCCAGAACTACTAACATCAGTTCCCTCACTTAGGCATTACTACGTGCAGAGTTTCCTATTTCTACACAAAGATCTTAATATGTGAAAAAGGAGGAAGAATTTATGCCATTTCCTTCTTGCTTAATATTCATTCAAACTCATATTAGATGAAAGAATAAGGAACCGCTTACTATCCTTTTTTCTCATGCTTTTCCAACATAATAGAATGCTCATGGCAGAGAGAAAATTTGGAGGTGATGTGTTGTAAGAGGATCTCTTCT